GAGGGTTTCATTGGCATCAGGGGGTCAATAAATACAGAATCAACGTTCACTATTTTTTATTTAAACACCGCCTGCAAACGGGGAGATGAGGGTGGCTAAAATATATTCTGCAACCCTGTCTCCTCGTTGGCTACAAATTTCAACCCTCCGCATACATGCCTTCCTCTTCACCCGCTCGTAAAATCACGCGTTCTCGGTAGCATCGAGGAGGACTTCTCAGGACCGAAAAGAACTGACGATTCGAATGGTCTCTGGAAAAGTACGTCGCAGAACTGATTAGGACTTTCCAGGTCCATCTAGGTCTGGAGAGATCTTGAAAGACCTGTGTACGTCCAATCAGAACCAAATCCTCGACTCCGGCGCTCGGCCGATTGTGCCCATCCACGATACCAATCTTTTATGATACGAGACCGAACGCGCGCTACAGCGCGCTGTAATTGTAACAATCATAATTGAAAATCTCAAAATGAAATTAATCATGAATTAAATTTACCGCCTCAGACGACTGGAACCAATGAGGAATAAGCGTGAGACTTGTGAGACATCGATAGTTATCGATTTTAAGTGTATGTTTTTTTTAGAATAGGAATAAAAGCTAGAAGCATACAAAATTTCAACTCGCTATCTCCATTTTTTATCAAGTTATCGTGTAAACAAGATTTTTCATGAAAAACCGGAAAAACGGCAATATCTTCAATTTTTGTCTGAACGGGTATATATATATTTTGATCGATCCAGATAGAGGGCATTGAGACGAGTATTTTGAAAAAAAAATTGAAATCGGTGGAGCAGATTTTGAGATATTGAGGAAAAACGAAATTTAAAGAAGTTGTTATATCTCAGGAACTACTGGACCGATCGGGCTGAAACTGCGCACCAAAGTGAAGCTTAATCATAGCTATGAGCCAAAATTTCAGACTTTTACCGACAAATTTCACCGTATTTATGTTGAATTTTCTAAAAATTGATCACCAAAAACCCAAGTTGTCACACATACATACAGACGTGACCTTAAAAATATAATTTCTTCACGTTTCATAACATTCTACACCATCTGCCATCGAAATTAGAAAATCTAAAAATCGCTCAAACACAAAGCTTTTCCATTCGGAAGCAAAAAAGGATTTTCTAAATTGCGTTAAAGACAGATTCTTTCATCCGGTTTTTTTTTTGCTTTCTAAACATTTCTATTCGCGAAGAAATTCACTATTCGCCGAGCTTTTGGAAGGAAAAAATTTGAAAAAAAATTGAAAGAAGGAGATTAATGGAAAAAATAATGGTATAGTACAAGAATTTATAGTGAAATTTTGGGCATTTGTGTGTCTGAACCAAATTTGATTGGCAGAATTATAATTGTTCCTGGGTGTAGACGTTTTTCCGCTGGAGTGGGGAAATTTGGATAAATGAGGAAGATAATTTGTCACATGTCCCCTCCCGCCCCTCAATGAACCCCTCTTCGTGAAGGTGGGCGGACTACCCGGGAGTATATAAAGCTTCTGCCGGTGCTGGAGGATCCCACAGTCGTTTCACCCCCTGGGATGCCCTCAGCTCTCTGTTATTCCGTGAGTTATCCGAGGCTTTTCATTTTTTTTTTCAAATCTCTGACACACGAATCGAATTTGCTGTTGAATAGATTGATGAGACGAATTAAATTCCGTAGATTCACAATTTTTTAAAGGATATTTTCTCGTAGTGAAGTGGTAGAACATCAGAGAACAGCCGATTTCAGGCGCCCTTTCGGTTAAATAGTGATTTTTTTTTAAATCAACGTTTAGAAATAAATGTCAAGACTTTGTTTTATTCTTATCAGGTACAACAAAAGGTGTGAATAGATTTTTTTTAAGAAAAATTATTTTTGATTAATTTTTAATTGATAATTAAGGTAATGATAATTAAAAATTTTCAAGTGTCTCGATAATTATTGATTCCACACGAAGAGTAATGTTCAGTAAAAATTATGGAACTCACAATTCACTCACAGATTTCGGAATCGACTCCGAAAATTTAAGTGACGGTATCGTAATTTTTCACAGGAGATTCAGATAAAAATTACGGAACGCTCTGAAAAAATTTGTTTTTGTAGAATTTTAAAAAAAGGATAAAATATATTTTTTCGAAGAAAACATTTTTTCGAGTAATAATTTTTAATTGAAAATTTAATTTGTGATAAATTTTTGTAATTGCCTCAATAATTATCAGTTGTAGAAGAAAAAAATCAACGAAAGTTTTTAAAAAATTTTCTCAGCAAATGTGGGAAAAGCTCAATTTTTAATTAGAGACACGCCTGTAGTACTTGAGTTTTAATTATCCCTTATTTAATTTTAATAATTAATTTTAAGTTGCCAGAAAAAAAACGATAGATATTTTTTCTTAATTTCATCAGGCTTGATGTGAAGTTCATTATCAAATCTTTCAAAATTTGCTTGTTTTCCCACTGAACTTCAGATTCGTGAAAGATAAAATTGAATTGGAGCGTGAAAAGCAAATGTGGTTGCATTCCATTACACTCAATAATTTGTGCGGAATTCCACTCGTAATTTTGTGCATCTATTTCCACAACTTTAGGTTGAAATCCAATTATCCTAACGTTTTTTATTTTGCATAATTTTCAAGAGGAATACAAATGATTTGTGGATAAAAAAGAGTGAACAATAATGGTTGGATCGCCTGCAAAAAAATCAGGTAAATGCACAATATATTATAGTTATCATAAAAAACCTCTGATTGAATCCATCACAACATTTTTTTTTCTGCAATTCAATAGTTAATTTGGAAAATTTAATAAAAGCACTTCCGGATTTTTCTTATTTGTGTAATTATTCTGGAAACTACATTTTATGGAATTTTTTCCTAAAATTACTCATTACCAAGAAGATGAAATATTTAAGAAGATGTAATGAACTTTTTGTAGACGAGGGAATCGGAGAAATTATTTTATTTTATCGAATTATTCATGAGAATGAATTTTTCTCTCAATTCGATAGTAAGTTTTTAAAACACGATAGAATGAATTCAGATTTTCTAAAATTAGGCATTAATATCGGAAATGAGCGATTTCATTTTGAAAAATGTTGAAAAATCTATTTTACAGTTCATGAAATTTCCAACAAAAGTTGTCTCAAGGTATTCCTCCTTCAATCGAACAATTAATTTTCAAAATCCACTGAAATCAATTCCACAATTTTTCTTAATTACTACACATTAGGTAATTACGAATCCATTTTTATATTCAACGTAAAAAAAAAAATTCAAAGATAAGTTTTCTGGTCTGTTTGATCTGTTGATTTTTTTTCCACTTCACCACTGAATTAATAATCAATATTCCGTCAACGATCTTGAACCCATGCAAAAAACCTCCCACTTCAAAATTTCAAAAGATAACCCAGCAAATGTGTTTCATCCCCTGTCATCTCCTTTCGAACACCAATATATAATGTATCAACCCCTAGAATAAATATTAAATAAGGGGTCAATGAGAGGGCGTCACCGTATTTTTCGTTTTCGATTTTACCTCTCAGACCGAGGTTTTTTATCGAGGGGGAGAATATTCCCAGCATCTGCTATGGACCTGATAGTGTGCCTGTCGCTCGTCCTGGTGATAGCGAATGTTGTCTTGGCGGAGAATACTTTCTACACGCAGGGACGATATGGTAAACGAGAGGAGTCACATCCATGTGAGTACAATTTTAAGGAACTATGGATAAACTCTGGTAAAAATCGACTTAAATTAGCTCCATCCTTCATCCGGGCTACGCTGTACTTTTGAATATTTTCAGTTTTAAAATTTTTCAACTAAATTGCACGGAAAAAATTTGAAAAAATTCATACCCAGTCAGTATTATCTAAATTAAATTGCGCAAAATATTGATATTTTTCCAAACATTTCCCTCTTAGATAAATAATAAAACTTGTTTGCAAAACGGTGGATTATTTTTTATGAGGTGTCAAAAAAATTCTTGATTTTCTCACATCTAATGAAAAAAAATTCAGATTTTAATCTTTGATTACAATGGAAATGTTGATTTTCACATAAGACACTGGGTTAAATTTTGATTTTTAAACATTTCTCCTTTGAAAAAACGAAAACGATAATTAAATTGAGAAAAAAATTAGAATTCCGAATCTAATCGAGTTTTCTGCAATTTTTCTGCAGTTTTCAATCATCTTTGAATTTACCGTAAAGGTGGAGCTACTTTAAAACGCCAATAAAAATAATTATTCATCATTGATAATTTTTTCAATTCGTTAATTTAATTTGATAACGTTTTAAACTTTCATATGACAATAAATCAGTAGCTAAGTGGTGAAACGGTTTAAGTCGACTCATCTCCCAGCTGAGTTTTTGAGGAATATTTCCGAATCTAAGGGAGATAGCGAAATTTCCGTAATGACATTTGTTGTAGCTCTCAATCGGCTCTACAAAAAAGTTTATAATAAAAATTTTGCTACCTCCCTTGGATTCCGAGATATTCATGGAAAACTGATCGATAGTCAAAATTGAACCGTTTTACCCCTTCGCTACTGAAATGATTTGCTCATTTCTAATTACCCTGATCACTGAATACAGTTTCAATCATAATTACAATTAAATTCCCTTTAGAACGCACTTCTAAGTATGAATCTTCGGTAAAAACGTGTGCCCACACTGTTATCAATTTTTAGTTAGTTCACACAGTAATTCAATTAATCTATTGTTCATCTCGCCCTTAGAATATCGTCATCTTATGTTTTCAGCACCATATGAAATTTAAAACTTTATTTTGAATATTAAGTCGCAGCTTATTTTTATTCATATCACATATTTCGTATTTGGATATTAATATTATTTGTTCAGTGGAAAAATCGATCATCATTTTCACTATACTGCTTTCAGATTCTCCTATCCTTGTCAAAAATATGAGATAATCTCATAATTCTACACTGAGAGAAAAACGACAAAGTTCTCGAACAAGTCTTATTTATGCCAAGAAAATAGTCAAAAAAGGATTTTTTTGTGCCAAACATGCAGAGAGTGCGCCGGAATGAAAAATTTTTGTCGCAAAAGTATATTTAGTAGTTAAAAAAAAAATTGCATTCTCTGTACACGTAAGAAATGTCATTTCCAGCACTACTCCTTCGTTGTTCGATACTACCATACATAGTTTGCTCCCGAAAAATCTTTGTTTTATGTGAAACAAGGGATAGTAGTTTCTCGTTTCAGCTGTTTAATAATCACAGACAAAAAATGAATCCTTAAATGAAACGAAAATAATGATATGATAGCAATCTTGTAACTTAGGGATAAAATATTTGTTCATAAATTTTCCTCTACATGAGATATTTTCATCCTGAAAAGGCACCGTCTGGTGTGAATTATCCACCTCTTGAGCCAAAGATTTCGTCAAACAAATTCTTTTATGGCAATTTTCAACTAGCGATTTTGTTGGCCCCAACAAGACTCGTTTGACAACGTGTTTGTTTTTCTCTCAGTGTAGCTACTAATGAATTATTATTTATTATTTCCCTCTAATTTTTCAAGATTTTTTTTCGAGTTTTGATCCTTTTTCCAAACGAAACATAGTCACTTTTTCACAAGACTTTGTTGTTTGTCACTTCAAAATTATTTATTATCAACAATTCAACGAAAATGTTTTTATTGAAATGAACTTCCCTTTAAAATTTAAATTTTCAATTTGCTAAAATTATATTAATTTTTCAAAATACGTTACGTAAGACATCTTTGTTTGCTCTGCGGTTGGACATTAATTAGAACTGTTTAATTTTCCCGTAACGACACCTGTGGCAGTACGTGGGCGTGCGACAATGCTCTGTATTTAACGGACTGGGTTTAGACACTGGATACCTTTGCGGAATTTTTCTCGATAAGAGGGACCGACGAAAACGCGGAAACAGTGGGGAATCTGAACCTCAATTTGCATTTCGCTGGGTCTGGTGTGCAATTAGTCCACACACGTCACTAGATACAGAGACTTTTGTGTGGACTTTTCACATTTTCAAAATTCAAGAGATGAATAATTTCGTCGAGAAGTTAAAATACAATGAACCACTAGCTCAAATATGCGCGCGTTCCTTTTCTAGTATTATAAAATCGAGGAATTCCTCACGCATTGGTATATCTAAATAATTTTTTAGTAAAAACATTGTATTAATTAGATTTTTTTCAATAGCCGCTGGTGCGCTGCCGTATTTTTCCCTAAGTAGACACGTCCGGAGTGATAAAAAATCCAATCATGCGTCCAATACGCAAGACTCGAATACGGTGAAAGTATCATCTCGGCCAGATCGTTTCTTCCTCGGCAGTCGTTATGGCAAGCGTGCACTACCTAGAGCTGTAGAATTGTCTGATGGCAGTCCGCTCGCATCACTTGACCGCCTAGAGACTATTCTGAGGTATCTAAACCGTGCCCGAAGGTCTGACCAACGTAGTTCAGCGCCAAATTATGAAATTGAACAAATCTATTACGACAATGGCTACGACAACGGTAACGACGACAATGGAGTTGGGGATAACGACAGCAAAACTTTATGTCAATCTGGTAAATATTAAAAAAAACGAAGAGAAATACATCTTTGACGTTTGATAACTCGAGTCAATTTCCTGCAATTCAGCGTCATTTTCAAGATTTTTTTTTCAATTATTAAAAGGAGAAAAATTTTTAATTCTCAATTTTTATCAAAATCACATCGTGGGATCAAGAGATACTGAAGATTTAATAAATAGTATATTGCAGTACGAGTGCGTAAAGTTTCACTCTTTCGTACGCGCGTATAACGCATCGTATTTTACGATACAAGTAAAAAAAGGGCATTTTTTTTGCTCGCTTCGCGCACAGAGAACCGCCTTTTGCTCACAAGTATTATAATAGTATATTTCGATACGAGCATTGAAAGTTTTTCTTCGTCATTCCGGCTGTAAGGCAGCACTTTACGAACGCTACCCGTTCTCATCAATACTCCCAAGAATAAAAAAAAACATTTAATAAACAATTTTTTTGCTTAAATTGCGTTAAACAGTCGTTTTTTTGACTGTTTCATTTTGCTCTACTCTCCCCTAATAAAAAAAATCCACAACTTGAATTTGTACGATAACAGCTTCCATCCGGAAGCAATGAAATTCAATTCTTGGAAAATGTTAACTTGACATTCGAAAAAATATAATAATGTTCTCCCACTGAAGTGTGAAACTCCTCTATTTTCATTTCGAAATGTTATGTTCAATTCCCTAGAAACCACTGAAGCAGAAAAAATAACTTTTGAAAGTGAATGAGGCATAAAATCCGAGTCACTCCGTTGATAATTCAGACGTAATAATAGGGTTTTCACGCGCGGAATAAAAGCATTTTATAATGAAGTTAATTTTTCCCATTGCAGACAGCAGCCAGTGCTAACTCAAAGGAAATTAAAAAGTGAAAAAAAAACCGACGTGAGTTACGAAGAAAATTGAAACTGCGGAATAAATAGTTTTTTCTCTTCTTGAAAATCACTCCTGGCTTTTCACAAGGCACGCTGAATTTTTTCCCCTCCCGAGTGATCCAATGTTGAAGAAAATTCTTCGAAGATAATTAAACAAACAACATAGTCGAGTAAAGAGTATATTTGTTTCGTTTCGAGTTAATCTGAGACTGAATTACTCTGTGAAAATATATTGAAAGAAATATTGTGTTTTTCGATTCTTCAGATATATGTGAAATAGTTTAATCAAGTGTTGATCCTTGGAATTATTAATTAGTATTAATATTGAAATATAAATATTGAAAATACATGTAACTCTCTCTCTGCAGCAATATAGTTTTGGCATTGTGCACTCCATCATTTTGTATATAAAGTAAGAAAAAAAAGTGGTTGAGACGTGATTGGTTGACCATTCAATGCAGTCGTTAGTCATACCCCTGTGAGTTTATGTCTTTTACGTTTTATGGAATAAGGCGAGCTTCAACAGGATTTTTAGAGACTCGGCGAAAGTTTTGGACGATTATAAATTTTTTTTTGCTATTTCATATAATTATTCAATGGATGATAAGAATATTTATTTTATGGTTTTGAGTTGCTGAGACATGCCCAAATAGGGATATTTTATACATTTTTCAGCAACAAACTTAATACGTGAGGATTTCCTCAATTCCATCATTTCGTTTATTTTTCAAAAAATGAAAAAAATTACTCAAATATTCTCATTTTTTGTTCTATTAGAATATGGAAGATTTAGCACGTATGAAAAAATTCAATAAAAGAACTGTCCGAATGCGGTAGAAAATTCTCTTGAAATTCTCTAGAAGTCCCATTGGAATTCTATTTAAATTGTAGGGAATTCTCGTTAAAATTGTATTTGCGCCGATTCTATTTGATATTTGATAGGAAAAAGTTAATAAATTTCGATTTTTCTATATGAATATTTTCTTGGAACATTTTCTGCAAGAATACTTGGGCATGAGTTTTCCACGTTTTATTCACTCGGATCCTGCAATGCAAAACGAAACAAAATTCATCGGCAAAAATTCTGAAAGCCTGTGCCCAATGATTTTAATAGAAAAAATCTCAAGAGAAAACTTCAAATAGAAAAATCGAAATACATTGACTTGTATTTCGTACTGATTCCTATTAAATATCTAATAAAATCGGCGCAAAAAACAAATAGAATTTTAACGAGAATTCTCTAGAATTTTAATAGAATCCCCATAGAATTTCTAGAGAATTCCAATAGAATTTTGTTCTATTGAATGTTTTCATACGTGAGTCCATTTGATAGAAAATAGGAACAAATTATACACAAAATAACTATAAGAAACCTCTTCATTTTTTGTGGTTTTCTCAGAAAAATGGTTCATTAGTGAGAACGAATTTTCCAAAACATAATAATCCTTCATTTGGAATTAATGAATAATTTATCTCATATAATTGACAAATTTCCATTGTATAAAAATCCTCAAGTTGATCCATTTTCACCAACGATATTGTTGAAATACAAAAAAACTTGACATTTTTATTCGATCGAAATAAATCTTTTCTCTCGATGTTCTCACGAGGAAGCAGAATCAAATAACTCAACATTTTTCAACTCTGCAGTATCGTCACGTGTCATTCACTTTCACTAATGAAAACGAGTCGACATCGAAGCAAGCGGAGACTTCCCCACTGTCATCCCCTGCCGGACAAAGAAAATCTTCAAATTCTCCAGTGGAAGAAACCACAACTACATAAATAGCGTAGCCCCCCCCCCCCCTCCCGCTAAAAAAGACGTAAAAAATAAATAAATAAATAAATAAGGAATTCATCCTCACGGAAATAACTAAATACTCATGGGGGAAGGCGAGGAAAAAGAAACCTTCGTAAATAATTTATATATCCTGACCGATAAAGTCTGGTCTCATTTTAACAGGCTGGAAATTTCTTTCGTTACAACATAGGGGAGGCTAGGGCAAAACGAACCCCTGACAGAAAATTGATAATTTTTTAATTTTTTCATAGTTTTTGCTTCCGAATGAAAGTAAAAACAAAAATTTCAAATCGTTTGTGGTTTGAGGTGACTAGCAAATCTGATCAAATTGCAGTTCAACGATACTTGTTGTCTATAAAACCCCTGTGTTCCTGATTTGAAGGCAAAAAATAAAACAGAAATAACCAATTTTCTGTCAGTGATCCGTTTTGCCCTAGGAGTCCGTTTTGCCCTGCGGTCCGTTTTGCCCTACAATCCCCTAGTCAATATATCAGAGATAGCCATAATCTCAAAATAGAATTACCGTTAAATTTTGAACTCGTCAATTTGTTAATATTACTCTACAATCTTTAATTATTAAATTAAGCATCAATTAAAATATTCAAATTCCGAGTTATTTTATCAATCAATAATTTAGTTAGGAACATTGACGATTATTTGGTTAGTCGAAAATCCTTTTTAGAAAATTTAGTAGTATTCATTCAATAGACAATAGACAATTCCATATTATCAATTATTTAATTCATCTTCAATCGAAAATTTAGATTATCAATTATTTTACTATTTTTTAATTTCGATCATTATACGTAAACCTTAATTATTCTATTGCAAATTCTATGACAATGACGATTTTTAATTGAATTCAATATTGCTACAATGTTGGCTGCCAACACGCCCCCGACGTTAAAATTGTTTACCTCTCTCTGAATATTAATTTCAAAATAATTTTTGTTTTAACAATAAATGACGCAATTATTCTCGTTATTAAACCCGGTCAAGATGGCATTGAGAAGAATATTTCAAATCACAATTCATTTGAACAATTATTTTTTCAGTTCCGTATTATCCCCGGGCTATTTTACTCGGTCAAACCTTAGATGTTTTTAAGGTAAAAATTACATGGAACGCAGGATGCTATACGCTATCTTTCGACTTTCCAAACGAGGGAAACAATTAATTAATTAACAATGCACAAATTAAAAAATTCGGAGGCACACGGACTCGAATTCAGGTGGGGTATGATCCCACATCTCCAGTTTGCCGGACTGGTGCTCTGCCAATTGACCAACTATTTTTCAGTTATTATCTAAATTGCCGAATACAATGCTTCTATTGACGCAAAAATTACAAAAAACCTTAGAAGTGAAGAAAAAATCGGCAAGTTAGATTTTGACAAATGAAAATACTCTTTGAAATTGTGATTTACTAATCCGCATTTAAATCTATCGACATGAAAAATCATTTCCTTTCAATTGTCATCATCAATACTAATAAATATTCAGTAGTAATGCCCCAAAAGCTTCAAAATTATCGGCTATTTCCCGATAGCTTCGTTGCAAACAAATGAGGGTGTCAAGTTTTGCAGGTTAAAGAATCCCGAGCGCTTGCGCGAGGTATTTTTCTGCAAAACTTGGCACGATGGTTTGTTTGCACACTGATAGAACGGATTAGTTATTGTTAACGAATGGATTTTGGTTGGAGGTTAGGGTCTATTCGGTTTCACCAAATGTGGGCGTCCACATGAAAAGGGCCCACTTTGACGGTATTGGAGTTATGTATGTTCCGATAATCTTCATCAGATTTCTCACATTTTGAGCCCAAAATCAACCCGATAGAATGAAAACTGACGTCAGTATAAACGATCAAAAAAACAATTTAACATTGGTTTAAATGGGAGATGTGGAGAGAAAAACGTGAATATCTCGGAAACTAGATGCGACAAAGTGGGCCCTTTTCACGTAGACGTACACAAATGTTCATTCGTTAATAGTTAACAAATGTATATTTGAGGAGCCTTGTTTGACTTGACTTTTGTTATGCAAGTGAACCATTCGTTAACTATTAACGAATATTCATTTGGCCATATTCAACTCTACCATTCGTTAATAGTTAACAAATCTCGTTTGGAATAAATGAATCATTCTATCAGTGCAGGGGAGCTTGAGGGAAATACCCGATGAATTTTGAATCTCGAGGGGTATTTGTCGGATTATTTTTCCCAATCGGATTTTGGCCAATCAGAGTGCAGTGGACAACATCAGGAGGTGAATTGGGAAAGATTTGAACAAATTATGTTAATAGAATAACCCGATTTCCCTAGACTGTCAAATATAAGATTCTATCTGAAATGAGCCGAGAAAATGAAGAGCTATACTGCGAAATATTCAAAAGCTAGGAGGAAATTCCCGAAATAAAACTGTCGGGTAGCCTCAAATGCTGCGCTCTGATTGGTCGAAATCCAATTGGAAAAAATAATCATAATAATAAATATGAATTAGAATTTTTTTACTTCTGGAATAAAATGCGGAAAGCTCTCCTCTCCCTGTCCCACAATTAAACATTGCAAAGACATCTCTAACAAGTCATAAACAATTTAATGCCATGAATTATCCTAATGCATTCCGCAGACAATGAAAAAGCCCGTGATATCCCCCTGCGACGGCACCTACACACCAGAAGTCCGCATTACTTTCACGAGTGAGCACTAGCCGCTCAGATTCTCCTCGAGTAGACAGCGGCTGCTCAAAAAGAAAGAAATGGAAGAGAAAAAAAAAACGTTCAGAAAGAATGAAGAGAAAAAAAGGTATTTCTGTCGACTCCTCTTACTTTCTCCCGTCGTGTACAGAGACGTCGGTGGCCAATACGAAAAGTAGGTCCCAAATACAATCAAAGTGTAGATATGTAAGTAAGAAATTCAATGGCTCGTATGCATTCATATAACACTGAGCATCCCAGCGTAATTAGAAATTTTAGTCGAAAGCAGAGGGTTTATTTATGCGCGTGAGAGATGTATTTATTGTTATACTACTATTTTTATGTCCCCCGACTCGTTGCTCTGGTGGGTGGGGAATGAGGTTCGCGACCTTGACGAAATCACATCGACCTTCGCATGATGCCCCCCCGGAACAACATTTTTTAATGCATATTTATGTTTTTAAATTTCATTATCAACGTGGAATTTAAATTAATCTAATTGTGATTTAGAATATTCTTCCCAACGCCATCTTCACCGAGTTCGATCGTGAGATTTACTGTATCATCTGTTGTTGAAAAAATTTATTTTGAAACCAATATCCAGGAAAAGGTAAAGAATTTTAACGTTGGGGTAATGTTGGCTGCCAACGTTGTCACAATGTTGAATTGAATGAATGATTGAATTCGATTTGAAATACATCAGCATAGAAATTCCGTTCAAAAGTACATTGTTAATTTATTATCAAAAATATTTGGAATATGTTCTGACAAAAGTAATTTCCCACTTGCTTTCCACTTGCAAGGATTTTTTGTAATCTCCGCATCATTTGATCAGGAGATATTGACAATTAAGCGGCCTCGAGAGTTGAATAAAATTACTGAAATGCAGGGAAATCT